TCCATTTTCTACAATATTTAATAAACATTGCGAAGAAGACTCATAGCAAGTTGGCCGGTGTAAATATTCCGAAGCGCGCGGTTCTCTTTGTCATTGAAGGGATTACAAGCATTGAAATACTTTATGATATTTTGAATATCTCTGAATACGAAAAAGTAAACCGTTACGCACCAAGAAATATGGTATTGTCTATTGACTACTACGAGCGCTATGACGCATCGACGCGCGGAGAGCGATGAAGGACAGGGATAAGGGACAGGGACCGCCACAGCTGCCGGCAACATGTTTTTCCTTTATCTGTGGGGTCTCAAGAATTTGAACATAGTTGCCGGTCCTTACATTTTGCATACTCAATGCCCTTTGGCGCCTGCACTATAATTAGAGTCTGGCATCTGGCACTATAACAGCGAATACAACAACTTGCATGATTTATTTCAAAATATGGATGGAATGCCTAGATTTATGAAAAAATCGGAAATTACTAATTTGTATATACTTATATGGATGCACGCAGCATCCGTACAGAAAATTACCGTCTTCCGGTAGTGGTGTCTGGGGGGGGTACATAGTTGCGATTTATTTAGAAAATATACTTTAATTTTGGTAAACAGGTATAATGAGGGCCGGTCCTACCGGGTATGCAGTGAATGCCCCTCACGCAGGCGCTAAATTTATAGGGGCGCCAAATACTTGGTTAGTTGGTTCACGTTCCAAAAATATTTTATTTAAGACTTGCCGTTCCGTACCCTGAGATATATATCATTTGCCAATAGCCCTCAGTACCCTGGAGTAGATGCGAGTAGTGGAATGCTAAGTTGCCTACAGTGTTTGTGTGTTTATTGTCAATTTTATTGTGAGGTGACTGATATACTTCTGCAAACAAGTAAGTGAAAGAGTAAACTATCACATGTCAATCAATCTAAGGTCGCTGGCACACCACGTTTTTTTTCAGGCGCCGTCGACGTGTATTTCACGCAATCAGAACGCGCTGGCAGCGCGATGTGAACACAACCAATGTATGTATCTATTTTTTCAAGTTACGCAGCGCAGCTAAAGCGCGATCGTGAATTGAGCGTCGACGGCGCCTGAAAAAAAACGTGGTGTGCAGGGGGCCCTAACAATAATTCGAAATTGAGAAATTTAGAATTACTTTCCGATGGGGTCTGTTAGCTCATTGATATTTTTTTCTCTTCAGTAATACCTGTAATGAGCGGAGGCAGAAGGAAAAAATTATCTGGATCTCAATATAAAAAACGCCCACTGAAAATGGAGGCGCAGCGGGAAAAACTTAGTGGACTTAGTGGACCACTGACCAAATTGTTCATCGCCGAATCTATCTCCCAGTCCAACCGCAGAGCCAGTGGTTATTTATTGTAAGTGAAGATACAGAAGCTGCCCATCGCCGATATTGGTATTGCTGATCCCTCTACATGGCCGAATCAATTAAACCATTATCTAGTTCAATCGATCGTGACAAAAGGCGCTATTCAAATCATGGAAAATTTTCCTGTTGATGAAACTGCTAGAAAATTCTCATCCACTCAATATTTAAGGCAGTTACCAAAAGGCGAAAAAGTTAATAGGGACTTGTTGGTGTATTCTAAAAAAAATTAATTCTGTATTCTGCATTTTGTGTGAAGTTTATAGCACGTTGTCTCATAAATTAACCATTGACTATTGTAATTGGCGACATCTTTCTGTTAATATTTCTCGCCATTAAAATAGTATGAAGCATATGGAATGTGGTCAAAAATGGCACGAGTTAAAACTGCGTTTGAGTAAAGAAAGCACTATTGATAAGGGACAACAAAAACAGTATGAAATTGAAAAACAGCGATGGCGCAAAATCATTAAAAGAATGATTTGTATTGTGCAGTATTTGGTCGGTCAAAATTTAGCTTTCAGAGGTGACAGCTCGTATCTTTATGAATCAAGTAATGGAAATATTTTGAAACTTGTTGAAATGATAGGCAAATTTGATACAATTATGATGGAACACCTGAGCAACATTCGAATGTCTAAAGAGCTGCGCCGACATTTGCCACATTATCTGAACAATCACTTCCGAAACGAATTAATTCATTCATTGTCAAGAAATATTCAGCGAGAAAGTTTGGACCGCCTCAAAGCAACAAAATATTACTCAATAATTTTGGATGAATCTCCAGATGCTAGTCATGTTGAACAACTTACTTTCATAATTCGCTTCGTTCATTGTTCTTCAAACGAAATTGAAATTAATGAACAGTTTTTGGGGTTTTTGAAAGTTTTGGATACTACAGGTGAAGGGCTCTTCAACTTTTTAAGAGAAGAAATTTTATCAAAATTTGAAATAGATCTTCATGATATGAGAGCTATGACAATGGTGCAAATATGTCTGACAGCATGTGGGCCTTCAAGCTCAAATTCAAAAATATAACAGAGCAATGTTTTTGCCTTGTTCAGCCCATACGTTGAATTCAACTGTCACTGATGCAGCTAAAGTTTCTTACGAGATTGTAAGCAAAAATTTGAGATAAGTTGTTCTTTTACAATTTTCGACACAACCAGTCAGTATGTAAAAAGATGCTTCGAGGAAATAGACAAGTGTAATGATTTATTTGGTTTTTTTGGGTGATCTCCGAAATCTGGAGTCTGGAGTAATCAAACGGTCATGCATAGATTTGGACTTGGCTTTGCAAATTCAACATGAAAAAGATGTATCTAAAGATATTGACGGTCTTAATCTACTCAACGAAATTACGTCATACAAAATTCTCATTTTTCCATATTCTAATAAAATTTCAGACTCGCCCGTAGGTATTTTAAACCATATAACAAGGAAAAATCTGTAGTCCTAACCCTACCAATTTCGGTGGCTTCTGGCGAGAGGAGTTTCTCGAAATTGAATCTTATAAAAAATTATTTAAGAACATCAATGTGCCAAAAAAGGCTGTCAAATTTGGCAATTATTTCAGTTGAAAATAAAATCTGTGAAGCGATTGATCACAATGAAATAATCGATGAGCTTGCAGCTGTGACAGCAAGGCATGTCGTGTTTTGATCAATTTATTATTAGTTACGTACTCATAGTATCTTTTTGGGTAATATTCCAAAATCTATTTGTTAATTTATGCATTTCTACTGTTGTGTTAACCACCTACTATATATTGCAGTATTGCAGTGACCTTTTTTAACTGACATTAAAAAAATAAATCCTTCAAACTGGATCGTTGAATTTTTCTTTTTTGTATTAATTGTAACATTGTAAGAATATGTTATGATATAGGGCATCTTAAATTCAAAACATAGGGGTGCACCAGAAATCCTGCACGCAGGCGCTCACCACCCTAGGACCGGCCCTGGGTATAAATTCATATATATCAATATCTGCCCCGTGTAAATTTTATTCTAATGGATACAAATTGTCTGATATAGATAATTATACTAGATCCGGCACTGACTCTTTCATTGTTTAATACTTTCTATAGTTCAGAGACGCGAAAGACGTGTTGCATCATCTTATAAATCAATCAAGACGACAATATTCGTTTTTGTGCAATTTATTAAACCACAATAAACATTTCTAGGGCACCAGACATTTTTCACTTTCCGCTGTGGTTGCATAATGGGAATTCATTTAAAAACCGTTTTTACTATTAATCTAGTTTACCCACATTCTTAAAAAATATACCATATAATGTATTATGAAAAAGGTTTACATAAATAACTTCTTCATTTTTATGCTATCATGGTTGTGCGATTTTAGATCAGACTAACACTAGCCTACAATTTTACAAAAAGGTTATATTCGTTTACTTCCAGAGATATACATTCGTTGTATTTCATCCCTTACAGTATTTTACTACATAAAAACTATTTTCATTTCTGACTTCAAGACTCTATAGTATGAAAAACTCAAGTATGTCAAATACTCAAAAAAGTTATTTTTTACGATGTTCAGCTTAATATTTAAACCAAAATATTGCATCGAAAGTCCAGATCAATTAGTTGGGTATCTATTTTACAGCTTTGAATATATCAAAAAATGTACACATATAATAAAAGGTCATTTTATTTATTCTTAATTGGGTAAGGTATCTACCTATCTATATACCTTTCTATAAGCCCTACTATCGTATATAAAAATAATTTTAAAATCACCTAAAGATCTCGCAAACGTTTGTTTGTATGTGTGAGCGTGTTAACGGAGGAAGTAATTAAATCAAGAATTCCGCATAATTTTAGTTATTCTAATTGAAGAGAATAACATAAAGAAGCTGTTGAAGGAGATTATATTACTCTTAGATTAATTATTATGAAAATATCTAATGCAGACAATTTCCAGGAGGTCAAATAAAGCTAAACTCGTTAGTCTGTCTTCAAGGTATTTTTATAGTTTCAGCATAGTACTTGCCAAACTGTAGCCGCAAGCTGGGACATAGCAAACCCAACCTAATTATTCGTATTGAAGTGGACGACGGCCTTAGACTCCCCTTAGCAAACGCCCAAATAGTTTACCCTAATAAAATCGTACATGTTTTTATAATTTCGATTAAACTTAAAGTTTTAAAAAACCGATGAGTGTCAGTAATTCACAGTGCTATATCTACTTATTTTGAATATCAGTAGATGAGTACCTAGCCAATATGGAGGTTTTCGCGGATAAAGATAACCATCAGAGTTACTTTCCAAATATTTTTTTCTGTGAAATTATCACATTATGAAGATATAAAAATATCTACTACAACCCCACGGGATAATGTAATTTCCTTCGTCGCAATAGATAGACCGATCATAACGAGTAACCCAATTTTGTGTTAGATAGCCAACACAAAGCTTCCAAAAATGATCATAAGTACTCGTAGATTGTCTGGCATTTCTCTCAATTGTTTATGGGAAGTAAAAAATAAGCGCCGTAGTTGATGGATTACAACTGAACAAAATGACTTCGGACGTGCGTATCGCCTATACCAGTGAAAACTTACAATGAATAGATAAAGATAATACTAATTACTTACATGTCATCGGAGCACTTGACACTCCAAATAACAAAATATAAAATTATAAATCCCTTCATACTTTCGCGTCCGCACCATGTATAAAATTACTCGGACTGTCGTGGATCGCGCCGCGATCTTTTTTTATATGACCGACGGTGGTTATGAGGATTATTGTCGATATACATGGGGAGCTAGGTACGCCATTGCTGAACGATAACTGAACTGTATTATTTGCATTCACTTGCTGATACCCTGCAAATTACTGGTAGCGTTACGACACTTTTGCGCTAATAATGTCTAGAGTTTCATTGGTGTATGGTAATTTTGCTATAGTTGATGATTTAGTTCACAACTACTTTACCTCTCTTTACTTGTGCATTGAAAAAGTTTCCGTGGGACCGTTGGACCTACCATTTAATTAGTATCTTCCTCATTTGAATTTTATCTAATTCCTTGCATCAGCTCGACAATAATTAAAAAAAATAGAAACTTTGGAACCCATGGATGTCAATGCCGAGTGGCGTCAATTCCAAGGGTTCCCTACAGTATGAGGGAAGTCAGATGGGTACTGGAGTCGCTTGCGCTTGACAGCCACACACACAAAGCACATGGAAGAAGTGTACTCCCGTCCTTTCGTGTTTTTATGACTGTGGCTGGGAGATGCAGGGTTTATTACATAAAAAACCTAGGTTCAAAAAATAAAAATGTGCGCCCGTATTGCATAACTTAAAAGTAACGAAATTACTGGCATACATGCTTCTGGGATCAAAGGCATTTGACAAGGTACAGCACAAGGGTCTTCTCTACAAAACTAATCCAAAAGGGCTTTCCATTTTAATTTAGCTCCTAAAACTTTTGAAAACCTTCCCTGAAGGTAGTACATTTCGGATCAAATTCAATGTCTTGTCGACAGTACGGCCCATTAGAGCGGGTGTCCATCAGGTTGTGTGTTTCTCCGACCAATTCTGTAGTCACTGTTGACTCATGACCATCCCTTGCCCTAGCGACTGTGAGGTCTTTATGCTGATGACACTGCATTGTCGAGTTCCGGGAATCTGGTTCACGACAGACCACAAAGTGCGGTGGATGAGGTATTGAAATGGACAGAAGGGTAGCTGATTAAATTTTATTATTCGAAAAACGTAGGCTATCGTACTGAAAACATAGCGTCGCCCGGTCTGAGGTTTCAGATCGTGTACCATGGGAAAATTCGTCATGTATCATGACAAGGGGATGACCAGGTCATCAGCAGCACACTGAAGCGTTAAAAACCAACATCCAAATTACGCTTCCGACAACTCTACCCTACCTGTTATGTAGATCCTCAAAACCAAGTTTATCAACAAAATTTCGGCTATACAAGATGGTTGTTAGACCAGCAATAACTTACGCATGTGGAGCATGGTGTTTATCGCCATAACGCATTTGCTTAGTCTGCAGGTTCTTCAGAACAGAACCTTGCGAACTGTCACTAAGACCCCATGGTATGTCTCCAGAAAGACCTTTCACAGATACCTCGACATCCCTTAAACTTAAGAGACTACATCAAACAACAGGCGCAGTTAGATGATAGTTAAGCGGAATCGCATTGTGCACAATATTAAATCGGTCGATTTTAGGTCCAACCAAAATTACAATTTTTTACAAATACGATTTCCAAAATTAATTTTTGGATCAATTTAAAATTACTGAGTACTAGTTAACAACGTCAAGGAACTCCTTCAACACGCATTTCTTCCTTTTGCTCTTCTCCATTCCTTTCTTTCTTCTACCCGTCGTTCTCCCTGGATTTGTCTGACCTGACAGACATACGATACTTTAACCAAGAGCAAGGACCGCTCTGGCGGACAATGACGAATAGATAGAAATTACTTCCGAAGATGTCAAAAGTAGCAACCCAAACCCAATACTTTGCTATATGGAGTATATGGAATTAATTTCTTTGAAGAGGACTTTCAGAATATACTAAGACATACAGGGTACATATACCATTTAAAAAATGCATGTACCGCCACATATAGTAATGAATAAGCCTG